CTCCTTTCTCCCCCCTGCCAAATGAGAAATTAAGGTGCACTATTTAAAAATCATATCTAAAATACTTGCTCAGCAACCCCACCTCACTTGGTATGACTCAGATCTGAATGAGTCTTAGTGGTTTCCAAATACCAAATTCTGTCATGAGATAATCTGCGACCACTGAGTAAATTTTATGTAAGATTTATTTTTTTCCTTTAGAAAGAGCGAGAGTCAGCTCAAGGAGGGACAGAGGGACAGAGGGTGAGGGAGAGAAGCAGACTCCCCACTGAGCATGGAGCCCGATGTAGGGTTCAATCCCACGACCCCATGATCATGACCTGAGCCAAAACCAAGAGTCAGATGCTCAACCAACTGTGCCACCCAGGTGTTCCCCCACTGAATAAAGTTTCAAAGGCTCACTGCAGGCTCAGAAGGTCACCCAAAGGTGGAGTCTTAAACATGTTCTGAGCGCAGGACAGTCCTCAGAAAATGGTGAAACCTCATGACATTATAGGTAAAATTTTAACTTATTACCAAGCCATAAGAATAAAATAACAGGGGTGCCTGACCGGCTCAGTTGGTAGAGCATGTGACTCTTGATCTTGGGGTTTCAAGTTCGAGCCCCATGCTGGGTGTAGAGATTAAAAAAAATTTTTTTTAAAGATTTTATTTTGAGAGAGAGAGAGAACAGAGAGGCAGAGGGAGAAAGAGAATCTCAAGCATACTACATGCTGAGCACAGAGCACCACATGGGGCTCAAACTCACAACCCTGAGATCATGACCTGAGCCAAAATCAAGAGTTGGACACTTAGCTGACTGAGCCACCCAGGTGCCCCTCTTTTTTCTTTTTTAAGGATAATAGCCTTGACAGTTATTTGAAAGGTTTTCAAAAAAAAATTTATTTTCATAAATTAACACACATAACAGTGGGAATTTTAGAGTCACAAACTACCAAACAGAAAAGGAAATGCAGGGGCATCTTGTATGCCAATGTTACCAAAAATGTACAAATTTCACTGAACTATTGACCATGATAATATATAAACACTTCAGGCAGCTATTTACTGGCCCAGACCTGCCCAAGGAGATGCTGAGGCCTCTCGCCAAGAATTCAGATCCAATTCAGCACCAGGGAGGGGCTCATGAAGACACACGACGAACAAGCCATCAAATCTGAGTATATACTGTGCTAGATGGCAGGCTATACGGGGACCCTCACTTAATCAAATTAGCACTTGCTGCTCAATTTGTGGTTAGATAATATAAAACTTTGATTTTCATAAAACTAAGCCTTCCTCCGAAGCCAGCTGTTTACATTAAGAAGTGCAGTTGTGGTAAGGAGCTCTTCCCTTGCATGAATCCAGGAAAGGCTACTCCATACCTCTGGCCAATTATTTAGACTTTGGATACAGCCACCCACAATGTGTTTAAAAGGTCCTTTCCATGATACCAGGGGAAAAGCTTCCCAAGACAAAACAAAACGAAACAAGGTCATTAAAAGAAAGCACCAACTGCATACTCCTCCCTCAGGTGGGAGAAAAGTATCACTGACTAAAAGTTGGTCTTCCGTGGATCTTACTGTACATGGTATTATGAGATGGAATCCCAGCCTGGGGACGGAGCGCTGGCTGCATGTTCCATTAGGCTGCACCAAAGCCTTGGCTCTGCTGCCCCGGTCCCACATCTTCCACATGCTCTCGGTCTGGCGGGCAGGGAGCGAGCCCTGGGGGGGAAGGATCATGCCCGGATGGCAGGATCTGTAATTTACCTCAGGTTGGCTCCAGTGCCCACGCAAAAGACCCTTTCAGGCAAAACTGTGACAAAGTGTCATGATTTTCACAGCTCTTGAAGGAGCGCTGAGTTTTGGGATTCACAGCATGAGTTTCTAAGCTCTTCAGGCTCCAAGTAAGGCAAACGCTACATGTCTTTCCACTGTACCTCCCTCAGCTGTAGCTCTTAGAGTAAGGTCACTAAGAAAAAGTGGACATAATTTGCTTGAATAGGTGATGAGGTAAATTTAAACTAATGGAGAAATGAAGCTGGAAAGGCGACCAAAAGAGAACGGGAAAGTGGGTGGGGAGCAGATGAGGGGCAAATACAGCTATAAACTGAAAGATGAAAAAACAACCACCCATAGTTGAAGTTTCAGTGAAAAGCTGATGGGCAGAACCCTGATTGGACCTGAGATTTCTCCTCTCTTTCCCATATTAAAAACACTAAACCTCTGGAGTTGAGTTATAGCTGAGTAAATTATAGTTAATTGTAACTTCCCAACGCTTGGGGTGGGAAGTCCCCATACTCAGAAACTGTACCAGCCCCCAGCAGCAGGAGACCTCCAGTAGCTCTGGGCAGGTGGGGTGCCAGCGGCCGACTAACGCCTCCCATAGCGGGCAGCTTCCACAGGCTCCGAGGACCACAGAGAGCGTTGCAGCTGGCCGGGCCAATGACGACAATGGATGCTAAGACAGGTGTGGCTGAGCGCGGCTAGAACTTGATGTATCAACTTCAGGCAAGCAATTTCAAGTTTGCAATGGGGGCCCCTTCTTAACTTGGAAGCAGGGGAAGGCCCCTTAGTCAGGGGGTGGGCCAAGAATTTCAAGGATAGGCAGGGCTGCCTCAGAGCTGCTTCTCTCCCACATGGCCAGGACAAGGAGAGAGCCCAGGCCTCCACTTCCTCCATGCCTCCAACGTTCCACATCACTGCTCCTGGCTCTTCCAAGTGCCATGCCTATAAAGGGCGAACTTGAAATTGTGTCTCTGTAATGGTGGTGATGCCACAGCTGTGCCTACTCAACCTCAGTGTGCTGGATGACATGGCTGACTCGTCTACACTGGCAACGGAGGCTCTGCTGAGTTGCTGGGAGTTTGCACGCTGTCCAGCAGCACTCCCTAAAAATCTCTGTTGGAGGGTGCAATGGATTACTAATCCCACTCCTTTAGGCAGCAAAAAGACAGAGAGAAGCATTTAGTGTCTAAGGACCCTGTCCCAGGAAGGGAGAGGTGCTGAGGTGAAACACAGGTCGTGTCTATACAGTCTGGGCAAAGTGGATGTAGAACGACGGAATCTAGTTCACATCATTCAGAGCCAGTGTGGAAGTGTGGCTCTCTTCTAATGCTATTTGGCCATGGCCTTAGAAGCCTCCTTGGGTCACCAGGTATGTATTTCACTTACTAAATGCTATGTCTGAGGCAGTGGGCCTAGAAGACAGATGTGGCACTTTTTTTTTTCTTGCTCATGTCAGTTCCTCTGCTCCAGTGCGGCATAGACTGTCAACCTGCAAAGGAAAGGCACATAGAGACCCCCCGCCCCCGCCCCATCTCCCCACCCACTCACAAATGGGGAGACAAAGGAACCCTAGGAGACACACTCCAGGACGGCACCACTCGCTCTTCTCTAACAGACTGGCTTTGAAAATATCTCTGGAGTTCTGACAGTCTCCACGGGTGCATGCTTCCCAGCAGTGGCTCTTAGGAGAATGGGAAGAGGTGACCAGTGTCCTGAGGCTGGGTGTAGCATCTCACTTACCAGCCAAGGAATGTTAGTTCTCTGACCTTTTGTTCTGAGAGCAAGCGAGAAAGAAAGATAAAACACAAGGGAAGGAGGTTGGGGGAAGCAGGGCAAGGGCACATAGGAGTTAAGTGGAAAAGGAATGACACCTCTGGGCCTGGTTGATCCACACAGCATCCTTCTGCCCACAGACTCCCGCGAGCCCAGATGAAGGAACTCCGCTGACTCTGGCAGTCCACAAAATTTCCAGTAGGTTTGACATAGGAGCCCCCAAAGAAGACGGTGTCCTCCGAGAGGGCTGGCGGTAGAATTTCATGATCCCACTGCAAGGATGCATCACTGGGTCTGAACCACATCCTGTCTCACTCCCACTTTTGGAGCAAGTTGCTCTGACAGCTGCAAACACTCTGGGTTGGACTTTATCACCGCCTAAGCTGTTGTACCCAACTTTGTTATATGCTACCACTTCAGATAAAACCCATTAAGACCACACCCAACGTTCATATTTTTTAAATGGTTGGGAGGAAAACCTGCTCTTACTTCCATCATTAAAATAAACACATTAACTTAATGAGCAAGAATGAGAACCCAGATGAAAAAGTACTCCAGCTAATGAGTTACACTGGAAGGTGGACATGGGGAAGGGGCTGCTTGAAACACATGATGGGAAAATCTCTCTCCATTGTCCCATACTATGCACTGATATACTGGGTCAAATGCCTGTCATATATTCTGAAGACATGTATTGTCTTTCTCCTTGATGTCTTAAAAAATTTGTTTTAAAATCACATTTAAAGGCTCCAAACATGCAGCAATAATACAAAAAAAAAAAAAAAGGAAATAAAACAAATGAAAATAATCAACACCACAACATTAAAAAGTGCAACTTACTTCGAATGGGGCCTGGACGGGCTCCTCTGGCACTAGTGACCCACAGTCACAGAGGGGAGAAAATCATGGGAAAAAGCCACACACACACACACACACACACACACACACATACACACACACACGGTTCTAGGCAGACGGACTCAAAGGATTAGGAAACACAACAGCTCATCTTTCCTCAACTACTGAAATGAGCCAGTGAGACCACACAGGACAGGACGCCAGGTCCCCCTCCCTAGGCCACGTCTCTAAATAATCTTGGTCTAGCACCACCGTAAACAACGCAGAACTTTCACACGGACGTGCAAATGCTGTGAGTCCTTGGAATCCTAGTGTTACTGAACGTGTGCTGTGTCCTCCTCCTGAGGATGGCGAGTGGGGGGAGGAGGCCAGATGTCATTCAGGACCATTTCCAGGAGAAAGGGAGCATTCCTGAGGTTCAATACTCAGCAGTAGAAGTAGAGGACCCTCCTTCACCATTTCCTAAAAAGGTTGCACCTCAAAATAGGTAAAAATCCATGGACTGCCTTTTGAGTAGTTTGGGCGGTAGGGCAAAATTAGGCAACCTCTTCCAAGGAGCCTGGAAAATCTAAAATCGAGACCCCCAAACCGAATTGCTTCTCAACAACCAGATGGTCACTCCTGCTCCTCCTCTTCCTTGGCAAAAAAGGTCTCCAATTCCATTAGTTTCTGTATCAACAGAGCATCCAGCTCTCGACTCTGCAGAGCCGCCTTCTGGGCCCTGGTAAAGCTGCCTGCCACCTTGACCTTACCACGAGCTCTCCTCTTTCGTGGGACGGTAAAATCCTGAAATTCTAGAACTCGTTTTCTCTTCTGTTGGCTGATTGAGATTAGTGTACCATTTCGTTCCTTGGGTTCCTCAAAGATGGTCTCCAAACACCTGAGGGCAGAGCACAAAAAAGACTCAACACCGCACCGACTCACATGGCACATCTCCTGGGCCACCAACCGTTCTGGTCAACTGGGGCTTAAATGACTAACGACTACTTACTCAGCTGTTTCCTCTGGCCAGTATCTATCTTTTTTTGTATGAAAAAAAAAATTTTATGGATATGTAATATGGGAACACAGAGTGAAAAAACTGCAACTGGACAAAAGGGTAAAGAATACAAGGCCAGCCCCTGTTGGCAACAGCAGCAAATTTTTTGTGTATCCTTCCAAAAGTCATTCAATGCACAGACTTGCATAAATAAGCATATATTATCAGAGATAACCCTTTTGCAAAGTACCAGAGAATAAACATTTTAAAATTAATAAGCCACAGAGGACTCTATTACATATTCTTTTTTATTTTTAAATAACCCTTTAAAAATGTAGAAACCACCCTTTGCTGATAGACTGTAACAAAAAAAGAAGGAAAGAAAAGAAAGGAAATAGGCCACTGGCTGAATTTGGCCTGTAGTCTGCTGACCCATGACATATATCCTCCACTTTGGTTTTTTCCTCTTACTCAAATGGTAACAAATTACATACACTGTCCTATGCACTGTGCCTCTCTGACCTGTCAGTACTTATTTTTTTAAAGATTTTATTTATTTATTTGACAGAGAGAGAGAGAAGCAGGGGGAGCAGGAGAGGAAGAAGCAGGCTCCCCATTGAGCAGGGACCCGGACATGGGGCTTGATCCCAGAACCCTGGGATCATGACCTGAGCCGAAGGCAGACGCTTGACTGACTGAGCCACCCAGGCGCCCCCTGTCAATAACTTTTAAGATTATTCTAATTTGGTACATGGGTATCTGATTCATTCTTTTTTTTCTAAAGATTTTATTTATTTATTTGAGAGAGAAAGAGGGACTGAGAGAATGAGTGGGAGGAGGGGCAGAGGGAGAAGCAGACTCCCTGTGAAGCAGGGAGTCCGACTCAGGACTCAATCCCAGGACCCTGGGATCATGACTTGAGCCAAAGGCAGATGCTTAACCAACTGAGCCACCCAGATGTCCCATTCTTTTTTTTTTTTAATTTTTAAAGAATTTTTATTTATTTATTTGAGACCGAGAGTGTGAGAGAGCACGAGTATGGGGTAGGGGCAGAGGGTGAAGGAGAAGCAGACTCCCTGCAGAACAGGGAGCCCGACATGGGATTCAATCCCAGGACCTTGGGATCATGACCTGAGCTGAAGGCAGACGCTTAACCAACTAAGCCACCCAGGTACTCCTGATTCATTCTTTTTAATGGCTATACAGTACATTCCATTATAAGGCTGGATTATAATTTAATCAGAACTCGATTAGTGGATATTTTCAGTTGTTTCCAATCCTTTCCTATTATTTAGCAATGCTGTAATGAATTATCTTGTAAAAATGACTTAGAGCAAATGTTCACCTTACAGGATAAAATCCTAGAACTCTCCTGCTACAACCTGGACACAACAGGAATTGAATTAATGTTCCCTGACTTAAACTGAATTCAGACTTGAAAGTAGCCAATGAAATTTGTTCTGTATTTGGGTTTGGAATCCTATCTGAAGACTGATGATTATTAGTCCTGAAGAAGAGAGCTGACCTATTCGTTAAAAACACAAGTACAAACTGAAGTAAGACGTTTTCTGTACCTACTTCATTCAACACATGTTCCTGTCCCATCCTACCACCAACCCCAGTTCAAAAGCTGGAAAGTAAAAATATCAATTCATGTTATTTCCAATAACTGAACATAAAACCCTTTCTGAAGTGAAAGGATTGAAGATTTACATCGATCATTTCAGAAGCCCTCCCAGTCTATAAAGTCCTACTCATGTACCCACCTGTTGGCAGGAGGAGACTTATAATTCTTATTGGTATAGATTTCTTCTAAACTAAACTCCTTTTTCTTCAACCTGAAAAGAGAACAAAATAAGTTCTTCATGCTGTTCTTTTTTAAAGATTTTATTTATTTATGAGAGGAGAGAGAGTGCGAGAGCATGAGCAGGGCGGGGGGGGGGAGGGAGGAGCACACCCCCAGCTGAGCAGGGAGCCTGATGCAGGACCCTGGGATCATGACCTGAGCTGAAGGCGGACTCTCAACCAACTGAGCTACCCAGACACCCTTCTCCACGCTCTCTTGAGAGAAAAGACTGCCTTCCTAACTCGATGGGCTTGTTTTCTTTCAGCCCTTCTGCAATGAGTTTTAGATGTGTCTCACATGCATGACACATACTAGATTTTCTTTTCTAGGCTGCCAATTTTCAGCTTTATGAAATTTTGTCTATACTTGCTGGCAGTGATATAACTGTATTTATATCTATTATATTTTACAGCTTCTTTTAATCCTACCTTTTCAATGTTTTTCTTTTCCTTGACTGACTCCTTACTTTCTATCCCCCCTTTCTGGCTTGGAAATTATACATTCCCCTTTTATTGGCTGGCAAGAATTTTAGTAAGTATATTTAACTTGGAAACTGAAGTGCATCAGTATTTTTACCCTTCTCCCAAACACAGGTCCCTGGAACTTTTTTTTTTTTTTTTAA